GAATCCTCTCAAGACTTTGGGATACCTCGATAGCATATCTGACAGCATAGACAAGGCCCTCTCTCTCAATTGTTTGCTCACATATTATTCGTGTTTGGTGACTTTAACGCCCATCATACCAAGTGGCTCGAGAATGCTACTACTGACCGGACTGGCATTCAAACACTTAATTTCTCAATCCCTCACACAGTTAACTTCCCCACACATTTTGCCCTCAGTCTGGTAGGTAAGGCCTCCCTTCTCGATCTGTGTTTTACCTCCATCCCTGAATCTTGTAGCGCCATGCAGCTCTGCCCTTTTAGTAACTCCGATCATGCTGTAGTATCTGTTAACATTTCCTTCAACTCCACACCCAGCAAAGAACCTCCCATCACTAGAACCTCGTTCTACTATCAACGAGTGGATTGGGACTCGTTCCGTGACTTCCTCCGCGATATTCCCTGGGATGTTGTCTTTACACTCCCTGTCCAAGAATGTGCTTCTGAGGTCTCATCCTGGGTTAAAGCTGGAATTGACGCTTTCATCCCCTGAAGGAAATTTAAGGTCAAGTTGCACTCCTCCCCTTGGTTCTCCACTGCTTGCTCAGCCGCCATTGCCCATAGGAACCACTTCTTTCACCTATTTTGTAGCGACATGTCGGACTGCAATAGACGTCTCTTTGCCTCCACCCGTAATGATTGTAAGCATGTCCTCAATGAAGCTAAGTCAATATTTGCTTCTCGGATGAAGGAGCGTATTGCATCTCGCAAATTTGGCTCCAAAGATTATTGGCAGCTCTGCAAGAATGTCCTGAACAATAGAAAACCCTCCATACCTCCTTTATTCAACCAGTTCGAGGTCTTGATCTCCTCTACTGACAAGGCTGAATGATTTGCTCGGAAATTCTCATTTAATTCAATGTTCGACTCCTCCGGTGTACCCATACCAGACTTCCCTCTAAGAACTGAGGCCCTATTGAGCGGCTTACACATAATGCCCAATACCAATGACGGGGTTATCTCCAATTTAGACCCCCACAAGGCCAGTGGTGGAGATGGCATACCAGCCATTGTCTTGAAGAAATGCGCGCCTGAGCTAGCGCCCGCCCTCTCTAAACTATATAATTACTGCCTCAAGGAATCCTGTTTTCCTGACTGCTGGAAGTCCTCATCCATTGTTCCTGTCTTTAAGAACTCTGGAGACCCCTCTGACCCCTCTAATTACCGTCCTATTAGTCTCCTACCCCTCTTCGGCAAAGTCTTCAAAGCCCTAATCAATGCCGAAGTGGTTAATCACCTTACATCCCGTGATCTGCTCTCAGACAAGCAATATGGTTTCCTCTATGCCCGATCTACAGCTGATGTGCTTACGGCCATCACTGAAACCGTCTACCAAGCCCTTCAAAATAGTGGTGAGGCTTGTGCCGTAGCCCTAGACATCTCCAAAGCGTTTGATAGGGTTTGGCATGTCGGCCTTCTTCATAAGCTCCAGGGTTATGGTATTACAGGTTGATTGTTTGACTTAATACAATCATTCCTGTCAAACCGTGAATTGAAGGTCATTCTCAATGGATTCTCCTCCAGTTCGTATCCCATGAATGCAGGTGTTCCCCAAGGCTCCATCCTTGGCCCCACTCTATTCCTTATTTTCATCAACAACCTTCCTGACGCCATAGATTCCCAAGTTGGTATCTACGCGGACGACACTACAATTTACTCCTGCCTCAAAAACAAATCTAGTATCGGTGACAAAACTAACCTGGCCGTGCATCTTGAAATGGACCTCCAATCGGTTGTTTATTGGGGCAAGAATTGGCTGGTCAACTTTAATGCCTCAAAAACTAAACTACTCTCTATTAATCACCATAGAGATCCTTCCCTGCCCCCCCATTAGAATGTCTGATAGTCAACTTCTTGAGAGCAACACCCTGCGTCTGCTCGGTCTCACGTTGACTGCTGACCTGAGATGGAACAAATACATTGAGTCAATTGCTTCTTCCACCGCGAGGAAAGTTGGCTCTCTGTGCTGCGCCAGGAAATTTTTCTCCCTGGAATAGATACTTCAAATATACAAATCAACCATTCACTCTTGCATGGAGTATTGCTGCCATATATGGTCTGGGGCACCTTCTGTTTACCTCAGAGTTCTTGACAAGATCCAGAGACGGATATGTAATATAATTGGCCCTGATCTGGTGTCTCGTCTACAGTCAGTCTCTCACAGACACGTCGTCACCTCTCTCTGTCTTTTCTACAAATACTTTCATGGTAATTGCTCCGATGAGCTGCTTTCACTGGTTCCCAGCAAGTGCCCTACGAGGCTGGCATCCCGCTCCCACCCTTACACTGTAAAAACTTTTAAATGTAGCTGTTTCTTCTACTCCAATAGCTTCATACCTCGCACCTCTTGCCTGTGGAACACCCTTCCCAATTACTGTTTCCCTGAAAGCTATAATCTCCAACTATTCAAATGTAATGTCAATCGACATCTCCAGTTACCTTGATTGATCCACTATCCCTCTCCTCATCCTTTCTTTTATCACTCCTATCTGATCTTGCTCCAAATCTTCTGCAACCCCCTGCATCCTAGTTGCTTCACGCCTTGCTTGGGGCATAATGCTTAAAAAACAAACAAAAAAAAAAAAACAAACATAATTTATGCAACTAGAAAATCACTTTATCACAATGGATTCATTTGCATATAAATTAAAGTCTGCTGATGTCTTAATATAAGTGGTTAAAACCTAATATTTAATAGATGGAGTGAAATTTGAATTTAAATGATGAATTTTAACATGATTGGTTTACAAAATTTATAATGGCACAGAAAGTCCATTTGTAGAATTTCATAGAAAATGATTTGATCGTTTTATTGCTAGAGACGAAAAAGACAGAAAACAGGATTTTATGTAAGAAATTTTCTTTGTTTTTGATTGTTTACATTTATATGAATAAATTTCTGCAAGCAATTTTATTTGCCATCAATGCTTTTTGTTGGTGGTATTCAGGCCAGTATTTTTCCTAATCACATCCACATGGCTAAAGTCAGTGATTTTCCTTTTGATCTATTTTTTTTTCTTTTTAAAAGTTGACTTGTTATTCCATCTTTGCCTCTGCAAAAATGTACAGCAAATCTCTTTCAATTATTCCCATGGCTGCAAAAGAAATAAAGTAAATCTATAGGAAAAAAAAGAGAGTATTTTAGAAAATATCCTGATTTTCTTTAGTTTTTATTTACCTTTTTACCAATTTTAAGATTTATTTTCTGACTGAAGTAAGTTTGACTTAATTGCAAGAGCAGCTTAAAATGTCATGTGAAGTGCTGAGTTAGTGACACTGCTTAATACAAATTCTGTTTTTTCTTTAGTGATAGAAGGGAGTAGAAAAAGTAATTGTAATTATCCATTCTTAAATAAAGGTTTAATTTGTTTCTTGTCAATCAGGTTATGATTAATACTAGAGCAAGTTTTGCTTTTCTGCTTCTATGTATGACTTGGTATTAAAGCAAAAAGTGTGGTAGTTAAGAGGTTTGAAAATTGCTCTCGCCAACTCAATTTAGGCAGAGAAAATTCTACTTTTAATTTTTGGTGATATTTTTTTTTTCTTCTTTTTTTTTTTTAATTATGAATAGCTTGTTTCTATGTCTTAAGCCATTTGATTCTGACATGAAGTATTTTCATTAATTTTTAACTAGATTTTTCCATCTTGCTTCTTGATGAAATCTCTCTCCTTGCTAAAATAGCATGAAGTCACAATATAGATGTAGCTTCCAATAAGGCTTGAACTTGCATCCTATATCTTGAAAACTCATCTTATACAGATAATGCCTTAACTCGGTGTTTCTCAAGCGTTTTAAGCAACAGCACACCTAGGAACAAATAAGAATATCACAGCACACTTAGCAAAATTTTTAAAGGGCATATATTTAAATGTTATGAAATAAAAGTATAGATTAAAAAAAAATACACACATAAATATGAACTTACTTTATTTCACTGTTTTCATTCAACTATTTGTGCAGGTTATTTAGTAAAATACTAATGCTGTACCATTACTATTTATACACACACACATATATATATATATATATATATATATATATATGCTGTGACAATATTGTGTAGTACACTAGTGTGTCATAGCATGGTGGTTGAGAATCACTGTCGTCATATTCCCACTTTTCTCCTCAAAGTTTTTCATGCTATATCACTATCTTGTAACAATAACAATGGTATTTGAACCCTGAGATGAAGTATTTTTATGTTTCTGATGTGAATATTGAAGAATTGTTCAGGGTGATTTATTGAGCCTTTAAAAGAATACTGAGCTGTTACATGACATCTGTCCTTCTTTACGGCAGTGAATGTTGGACAATTTCCTAAAAGATGAAGAAGAGACTCAAGGTGATGGAGATGTGGTTCTACAAAAGGATGCTAAGGATATCATGGACTGAGCATGTGAGCAATGATGAGGTCTTAGAGAGGTTGCAAACAAGGAGAAGGCTTATACTTAACATCAGAAAGAGGCAGCTGAAGTTTCTGGGACACATAATGAGGAAGGAGGGCCTGGAGAATCTGATACTCATGGGTCGAATAGAGGGAAAGTGAGAGAGAGCATGTGGCATACCTGGCGAGCTTGAGCAGGTGGATGACCAAACGTGGTCTGGGAGAAGAAGCAGAGAGAAGGAACTTGCTGAGAGCTGCAAGGGATAGAGGGAGGTGGAGGGCCATGATCACCTATGTCCTGAAAAGACATGACACATGAAAAGAATGAAAATGTATATATACACACACACACACACACACCTCACAGTAAGATAAGTGTAAATAAGAAATGCTGCTTTAATTTAATCAGTGTTAAAAGCTTGAGCCATAAACTTTGTGGCTTTCTATCTTAACTTTTCTTTTTCTTGTATTATATGAAAACATTGCTGATGAATCTTATTATTTCATAATTATTTAATTTATTGCCAAGTTTGTATCTTTCCTTTTCATAAAATAAAATCTTTGTTTTTACTTATAGGACAAAACTCGTGTTGTCAGTCCAATTATTGATGTCATCAACATGGATAACTTTGAATATATTGGTGCTGCTTCAGATATCAAAGGAGGTTAGTCATTTTATTAATAATATTACTGTAGTCTTTATTATTACTAATATTATAGCTATACTATATTGGTAACATCATTATTATGGATGTGGAGGTGGTGTAATGGGTATGAATATGGAAAGTGAAATTGTTGAACTGAGTTCAAATTCTGGACTAGTCTGTTATTTTCACTGTTGCACTTAAGGTATGAATCTGTCTCTTCTCTTCTAAGCTATCATTTGAATAGTAGAGTAGACTGGGCCATCTAGCCCTGGGAAGCAACCAGTGTAAGAGAAAGAAAACTGAATTTTAAACTGTGAAGAAGGTAACAAGAAACAGTTCTGCTATCGTTTCTAGGAAAGCATGCAAATTCATAGATAATAAAAGAATCTGTGGAGAGTCACAATTGCTTATGTCCTGAAGGGATATAAGGTATCAGAAAAAAGAAAGATGAACATTCCGAAAACATTTTTAATTTTATCTTGCAAAAAATAACAGTAATGTACATTTAAACTTTGATTGACAGCCTGAAAATAATTTCTCAAGTGAGATCATTAATTATCATAAATGTTAGAAGAATAGATTATGCTGCTTAATTTGTGATTTAAATCATTTTTTGTATGAACAATGGTTTTATATAAATTCTTATGTCAAACACTTATGTTCACATAAATACATTGCACACATTTGAAATGTAGTTATTCTTACATCCAATCAGTGCTGTAATACTTTTGATGCAACAATTGGACAATAGCTAGATGATTAGTTAGTTTTAGTTTTTTAAAAACATCAAACAATTTGTTTTTCTTAACCTTGTCAATCCTTAAAAGATTTCAATTGTTAAATCCCAGGAGTCCCAACTAAATTGTTGAAAATTAAATTGATATATCTCAAAAACTGATGAAAATCAAGTCTTAGCTGAAACTAAATTGATTTCTATACCTATTTTGCCTCCTTGGTATTACTGGTTATAAGATCCTGGGTTTTGGAAATCTACAACATTTAGAAAGTTGCAGATTTCTGGCACCTCTGCCTTATCATGTAACAGTTGTTAATGCTATATCTTAAAAATACAATTCCACCTGATTGTGTACATTTGAGCACTTTTTGACATTAAAGGATTAAAATATTAGTTTATTAATGTGGTTATCAGGTGGACACTGAAAAGTTCTTGCAATGACCAAGAAGAGCTTAAAAAATTTCTGATGTTTGGTCAGATTTTGAGAGATAGGTCAACAAGCTTATTTATGGCTACCATGTATTGGTTACTACCTGGGATGAAGCCTTATTTTACCTATCATATATCTAATGTGAAATAGCATAGTGTGGTCTGGTGCCAGACAGAAATATGGTGTATGAGGTGAAATGTACTATGTTTTTTTTTTTTTGTGTGTGTGTGTGTGTGTGTGTATCCCATGTATGCTTTTGTTAGACTGACCAAAATTATAAAATCAAATCTGATGGAAATATACCTATAAAAGGAAAATCATCATTATCATTCATGTGCTGTGTCTCTTCAAGACATGAAAGATCATGGCTCTCCACAACTTCCTGTCTCTTGCAGCTACAAGCAATCTTTGACTCTTTATCATCCTTGCCTGTCTATGTGAATGACTGGAGAAACAAGAATATATTAGGTAAATTGCTCACTGTTCACCTCTACCTGCCCTTTCTTCAGTGTGACCTCTGAATATTAAATTCTCTAAGCTGTCCTCCCTCATAATGTATCACAGAAATTTCAACTGTATCTTTCTGATTTTATGTGGTACTACAGAAAGTTGCTGAGGAGACCATAGAATGAATAATGATGAGGTTTTAGAAAAAAATGGAAACAAAAAGGAAACTTATACTTAACATCAGAAAGAGGCAATTGAAATTTCTGGGACACATAATGAGGAAGAAGGGCCTGGAAAATCTGATACTCACAGGACAGATTGAGGGACAGATGAAAACAGTGCATAACATACTTGATGGGTTTGAGTAAATGGATGGTAGAACAGGGTTTGTGAGGAATAGCAAAATTTATTAAGAACTACAAGAGACAGGAAGATGTAGAGGTCCATGATTGCCTACATCTTGAGGGGACACAGCACATAAAGAAGAAGACTATGCTCATAAATATTTTTTTTCTTTTAATTCCCTTCAACAGTGATTGGTTAAAAATATTTTTTTATATCCCTTAATCTACTTTCTTTAGAACTTTCTTTGTGCCGTGTGCTGTCTATGGTATTCTCAGTAACTATTTGTAGAACTCCATCTCCATTGCTTCTAATCTCTTCTTCATCTTTAAGGAAAATTGTCCAACATTCACAGATGTAGAGGGCTTTTCTTTGTTTCTAACGGAAATACCTTTTTATTTATGCATGAACAACAAAGCAACAAGCTGATTTATTGAAGTCAGCATGCTTGATCGTCTTCTGTTTCTTCTTGGCTGGAATTCAATCTCTTTACATAAATGGGCGGTAACCATGGCAAAGCTGCTCAAGATATCACTGGAGAGTAGATTTAATCCAAAGGTATTAACAGGGAAGGTCTACTGATTGAATTATGATTTCTTATAAATGAAAGTCATTTGAGTGACTAATATAGTCCCAAGTTACATTAAAGCATTTCTGAAATATAGTTGATCTCATAAGTAATAATTGGTATTTTCAGAAATAATAGTTAAGCTATATTTCTTTATTATAAATATTATATGAATGAACTCTAGTATTTTGATTTTGTGGAAAGGTTTGTTTATAAATGTGAACATATACTGATAACATGTAAGATGTCTTACAAATTAACAAAACAGTTGTAAAAGCATATATTCCGTAGACTATTTTTTTTTTATTGTACTAGATGCTTAGAATATTGTTACCTTTTCTTAATGTTTCTTGCTAAAATCCTTTTCTACTCTTTCCATTTTTCAACTTAAAATCTCCCCTCTCTCTTTTTCAGGTTATTCTTGATTAAAAAAAAAAAAAGAAGAATCACTCTTTTTTGGTTTTAATTTCAAGCTAATAGATTACATTTAATATTTACAATAAGCAAAATACTTTGCAGTATTTAAAAACTAAATAGATTACCAGAGGCCTCCAATTATTTCCTAAACTTGATCACAAATGATTGAACCACTTTCAAGAAGCTAGCAATATCCAAGTCACAGTGCCACGTGCATGGTGTGTAATACTTATAAATTTATTTATTAACTATAATTGTTAAAAGAAATAGATATGGGAGGAAAGCATGAGGTTTTATTTAAGATTTGATATGGGCATCAGATTTTACTATCAGCTTTTCAAGCTGCCCAGGAATCACATCAACTGATTTCACCAGGAACTCTTGTAGTATGGAAGTTATAACTTATTGTATTTGCCCTTCCAAAGTCTTTGTTTAGTATAGTAGACTTGTTCCTTTAACCAACCCCAAAGAAAAAAGTCAGAGGGTGTTTAGTCAGGACTTCTGGTTGGCTACTCATACATAAAACAAGAAGTTACTTTTCAATCACCTTATATGTGTATACGTCACCATGAAAATAAAAACTTCAATTTCTTTATAAGAAAATTACAACATTAAATAAATTAATTATGATTATAGCAACAATACTTTAAAATGTCTATAACAGCAAAGTTTTAAAATACTTAGATTGTAATTCTTTAAAAAAAAAAAATTTACAAATATAAATTAAGTCACCTCCCTAGATGATGTTAACTTTTGAATCAACAGAGTGCGTTTCATGTGCATTTACAAAAAAATTCACAACTATCTATTACATTAGTTTTTGTTTTAGCAATTCACCTCTGAAGATGATCTTGGATGAGATTGAAAGAACTTGAGAAAATAAAAGAAATGAGAAAAACTACAGTTCCTGCCTTAATTAGTTTAATGGCAACATTAAGAAATTGATCCAGGAATTTAAAAGGATTAAAATAAAATAGACATATGTTTAGATTATTCAACCAAACATGCATGAATGAAGATACGTTTATATATATATATATATATATATATATATATATATATATATATATATATGTATATATATATATATATATATATATATATGCATGCATGCACACACACACACACACACACACGAGGGTGCTGAAAAATTCTTGGCCCAGTCAAAAATGGATCACCCCCCAAATATGGTGTTTGACTATTTGTTCAGATTTTAAGAAGTAGAAAGGACCAATAACTTTTCACTATCCCTCGTCTCATATATATTGTTTAAAATTTGGTATAAGCGAAGAGTGCTAAATAATAGAGTATTTGTAGATATAGATAATGTGGACATAGAATTAACACTGCATTGTGACTATCAGTTTCACACCTCATGGATACTGTTGATACTTTGGTTATCATCAGAAATCTTAAAAAAAAAAAAAAACCTCCAAACTACACTTTTCTGCTTGGAATTGGATACACTTGCCATATTAGGGGTCTGAAATTAATAAACATCAGTTAAAATTTAAATTTTTCACTGTTAGATAAAAAATGTTTCTAGTTTTTGTAAAGAATTCAACTAATAAATGGTTTGATATTAATTGTAAAATAAACGAGGATCTATTTTTTTTTTTTTTGTTCCCCATTTTAATTTCTAAAAAGCAAAAGTGCTCTCTATTATGCATTCTAATCCTGCAGGACAGTGAATAAAAAATAAATGTAAAATTTAAATTTGGTTACAGACATTTAATAAGAATTAAATTTGAATTATTACAGCAACTTAATAAATAAAGGGTCTTCAATCTTATCTAAAAAATTTAATCAGTAATAAATTTTAGTCTAAAATAAATTTCTCACATCTAAAAAATTTAATCATTTCTAAAAAGAATCAAAAGGAGTTTTATTTTTGTTAAAAAAAAGTATAAAAGTGCAGTAAAAACATTTCCTTTGATTTTTTTAAAGAAATATAAGCAACTTTAGCAAACTTTACAATAAATTTTCAAAAATATTAGGAAGTTAAAAGCTAAATAACGTTGATATCCAACTTGATCATTTTATAAGGTATGCATTAAAATAAAAATATGATTAAAATC